TGCGCAACGTTTTTTTGTGCGCAGTGTTAAGCTGCGCCAGAGAAATTAGGACCAGATGGAAACAAGGGGTGGAGAGGGATGGTAAAATGCAATGGCAGATGCATGATTGAAACTGAAATGTAATAGAGCCTGTGCGCACTGGGCAAGGCTGTCAACAGTGATATCCTGAGAATAGAAGATTTTTGAAGAAGTTTTCCCCTGAAGCCAGGGTACCTGTTTTTTTGTTCATATATAACGTGTGTGTCTCCATAAAATATCATGGGAACTTTATTGCATTTCTAATGAAATAAGTCAATAGAAAAAATAGAATCTTCTGGGTGCACACCATTTACACTTTTTAACCAATCACGAATCTGAAGCTAACTTTTGAGTCTAAACTTGTTTGTATGATGTTGAGCAGATTTGAGCTCTGTCAGTCAAACGACGAGGCAGCAACCAACTCACGTTGGGTGCTTATCGAACTGTGTATAAACGGGAGCACATTTGAAAACGTCCATTGATTGACTATTGATAGTATAGAGAGATTTTACAATGTTCCCATTGTCATTGCGATGGCAACACACTGGAAAATAAGTCATCCACCTCATTAATTTTTTGTATCAGAATGTCAAAACGGAACTTTGTGCAAAATTTCAAACATTTTGACAAAACTAAATTTCTTTATGCCCATGTAAAACTGACTACTATGGCTCACTCTGTAGGGGGCGCTAATGCTGTATTTTCATGTTTTTCACTTTCAACTGACCAAGACCTCAGAGTTGATCAAGTGATTCAAATTTGGTGTTAATCCAAATGTTGTATGTGTTAATGGGAGCCATTATGAAATTAGTACAATTCTGTAGCCAACTTTTGATGTTTTGAACTTTTAACTACACATGTTTAGATGATATGGAGCAATTTAGAGCTTAATCTGTGAAACAACCGAGGCCGTTTTTTTTCCTCCCCATGTATACCTTTGGCTCACTCTGTAGGGGGCGCTAACGCTGCAATTTCAGGTTTTCACTTTCAGCTGACCAGGATCCTGATGTTGACAGACTCAAGTTTGGTGCTAATCTAACTTTGTATGAGTAAACAGGATTTGAAATAGTTGAATTTGGGAAAACATAGGCGCCGCTGCTTGCACACCGTTTAACCGATCAAAAGTCTGTTGCTAACCTTTGATGCTCCATGTGTTGAGATAATGTGGCGCGATTTTGAGACATATCTGTGAAACGACCGAAGCGGAGTTGATGTTCATACAATACTGTATATATACCTTTGGCTCAGTCTGTAGGCCCCGCTAACAAAGTAATTTAATTGAGGTGACAAATATTGTGGCTCTAGGACAAACTAAATACCAAAATGGCCAAATCTACTTGGTGGTGCTATAGCGTCATTATGCTTTTAGAGGTTTCAGGAATAAAACCTCTAAAAACATAATTTTTCTGCCGTATCTAATCAACCTGGAAAATTTTAAGTCTACAAACTCGGCCCCCTGACAACAGCACAAAATTACGTAATATGTTCAGAGAAAAAGAAGAAAGTAGCTGCATATAGTCCGGAATGACAGTATATCTTTAGCATACTTGACACTATTTGATGCTTTGGGTTGAGAGTTGATTGCGATTGAGTGAGGTTGATCCGTATATCTCACTTTTCTGTCTGAAAATGTTGATTGAAAGGTGTCACAGAGGCCAAGTTTTACTTATGTACTTCATTATTATTATTGATTGCAAATTTCCTTGATGGAGGCTTCGCTTTTTGCTTGGGTTTTTCTAAATGTCACTGTTTGGCCTGGAAGGTTGCATAGTATGGCATTGAATTTAACTTATTTGAAACCAGCAAGTTCATTTGCCTAAGTATAAATCATGTCTGCAAAGATCAGACCCAACCCATTGGAAAAAATCTGGATATGAGGTATCACATATAGGCCTGTATTTAATACGCTGTTTCAAATGTAACTCTAGAAATATCACAATTAGATATCTTTCCAAAATGATGCCGCCTAATACTGTAGACTAGCGTTCAAAGTGTTTTAGAAACAGGTGGACGTCTCTGTGGTTAAACTTGAATACTTTTGATTTACATGCTCTATTTGAGTAACAAGCCTATCTTTGTTCATTTAGCGCATTTGTTTTTGAAGAGAAAAAGCCCACCGGGAAACCTTTGAATAGATGATTTAAAAAACAACCGCATTGGTTTTCCATGCAAGCATATGCATGTGTCTGAGATTGAAAACCGACATTCCTGGGTCCCGATGTGCACTCATATAAAAAAACATTCTATTTGGAGCATTTGGAGCTGCCCCTGTGATCCCTCCAAACCCCGTCTAATGCAAACACAGTCCGCTCAACTCAGCTTCTTGTATTTATAACTTATATTATGCCTTTGCTTCAGTTAACCTGACTTTTTCTAGATTATTTCCAAAGACAAAGTGAACACAGCTTGTTGTGCGCACTGGTTGTAATGATTCTTCTACACTGAGCAATTTGTGGTACCCAGAAGACTTAAGTTAGTCCTGGTTTAGTCCTGGAATAGATCTAGTTTAGATATATGTGGTATTGTAAAGTTTGGAGGATTGCATCAGCCAGCTTTATGTGAAACTCAAATCTGACCTTACTAAACCTGCAAAGACAGAAAAGAATAACATAATGTAAAAAATGCTATAAGTTCTTCTAACTTCAGGTGAAACTCTGAAAATTAGAAACATTTTCTAAAAGTATTTACTTTCATAATTCAACTTACAATGTTAAACAGGCTCTTGACACGTAACGTGATATACAGTATATCAAGCCTTTTTTTGTTATATTGTTGAGGCTCACAGCTATAATGATTAATATAATTCCCAAACATTAAAATATTTTGAAAAATTGACTGTAAGCCATAATCATCAGGATGAAAAACAAGCAAAGGCTTGACATATGTTACTTTGTAAGTAATAGTCTCATATCTCATAAACCAGTTTCACATTTCAAGTTAATTTTCTGAGGTTCACCTGTATATGGACAGAATTTTTGGCATTCAATTTTGTTTTATTTAAAGCTACATTTTATGGTGGAGAGTTTGTCTTTGAACACTCCGTATAATTGTGCTTTCATTAATGTTTAATTGGAAACACAAAAATAAATGTATTGGTTTGTAAACCAAATGCATTTTACCCCCTCTTAAACCAATTTATGAAATTATCAGTATTAATTTTGATCTAATTTGAAAGTTTTGGTCCCTAATTTTCAAACCACAAACATAGAGCTACGTGTTAAAATCCACTAGTTCTTTGCGCTCAAAACTAGTTTTCACATCTTTAGATCAGCTTTATCAGACAGAACACTAAATAAAGAGGATTACCCTCACTCAGTCAATCAGTTCTCAGCCCAAAGGACCTTTCTTTGCAAAACCTAAGATGAAGACAGCATGTTGTGGTCTGCATTTTTCACAACATTTGACCTTCACAAGACCCTATGTTGGGACAGACAAAATGTATTTATATGAAACTAAATAATACAAGTGAGAAATAGCCTTGTTTTCTTATTTTTGATAAAACATAACAGATTAAGATTTGTTTGCAGTGTACTTTCTAAACACATTTGGATTCAGATCTAGGTTCTACAGTAGGTTTAGTTGAGAAAAGTTTGAACTTGAAAAGCCAGGGTTATCCATGCATGCAGGTCACTCTTAATGGTTGTTTTTCTTGCTAATGTCCGCACTGAGGTTATTTTTTTACCTCCCAAATTCTGTAATAAATCAGAGTGGGATGACTCAAGAGATTACAAGGCAAAGTGAATGTGTTTCAGCATGTGCCGTGTGTGTAGACAGGTGCAGCTGTTTGTTTGTCTTCTTTAATTAAAATGCCAGTGGACCTTTTTTGTATTCTAGCTGCAGGCCTATTGGCTCGTCTATCTTGAACCGGCTCAAATCTCATTACAAATATAGTTGATGTCATGCTTTCCTCCAGGAGCAAAATAAACCACAGATTTTCCCATTTACGTTCCGGAGTGTTGGTAAGAGACAGAACAACACGAGCACTTGAGTTTCCCAGGGATCTTTGCTCCGACATGTAATGGATGAACACGTCTGGGTTGTTTTTCTAAACCTCCCGCAGGAGCTGATCACATTTGCTGCTTGTAACTTTCTTCCACAGTGTGACCCGAGCCCCCACCGCACTTCATTACAGACTGGCACCTTGACCCGGCCTGTCATGACTCTCTCTGCACTCGTGTTGTCGCTGGTTTTTGGTTTCCTTTAGTAAAATGTGATGTTTAGAATCACAGTGAGAAAAAGTAGCTTCATGTCCAGTTTAGGGCTGTAATTAACGATTGTTTTGATAATCGTTCAGCATGGCTGATGATTACAGTTTTATTAATTTGACCAAAACAAGGCTTAAGTGATGCTGTTGAGCATCTTTATAGAGATTACTTGGGTTGTTTGATACAATTACTTGGTAAATATATTTTCATTTCATACTGCAGTCATTATAGAATTATCAGCATAATTCAGCATGCTTAACAGCATGTTCAAGTCTAATGCTCCAAAACGATAAATTATTACTAAAATTGGTTTTGATTGGTTTTTATCCATAAACTTACAGTTACAGCTCTAGTCCTGTTATGTTTTATCTGTTTTCTGCTGCTAATTTGAAACTTTGACATTTTGTTTTCCATTGACACAAACGCATTAGTCTTTACTACAAAACTGTACTTTTAATTGGAGTGAAGGCATCTTATGATAAATACACATTTATTTACAAAGTGGTTATTATAGAAATAAATACAAAATAAAAATTTGAGCAATATACTTCATGTGGTATTGCACCCTATTTAAAAATGTGCATCTGAAATACATTTTTAAAACCAGTAAAGGAATTATCCTTTAATACAATTTCCCAACTTTACTTTTAGACATAAATATATTGATATATATTTTCTCTGTATAGTTTTTTATTTCATAAATAAATGTCTTCATTGGGAAACTGGGTGTCCATTGAAACCTCGAGTCCTTTAGGGGGCCCACTATAATGTGGGTCCTCACCGGCAGCCGCAGCCCTCCACCACCATGTCCTGGTAGTTTTTCAGAATGACCTTTTCGTACTCGTCCAGATAAAGCAAAGATATGGGGCTGAGGTCTGTAGGCACACAACAGGCTCTGGGAATGTTTGAGTTGACTGAGTTGACCAGAGTCTGAACTATGGCATGATTGGTAGAATTGAGGTGGTCTGCTAAGGGGAATGGACATTCTCCCTGACAGTAGAAGGCGTGGTACCCCGGCGGAGCCACTATCCACTCGTTCCAGCCCACATCACTAAAGTCTACGTACAGGTCATGTCTCCTGCAGCTGGCTTTGTTCTGTTTTCGCCTCTGTTTCCGGAGAGTAGCCTGGCGTTTGTCCCGCCTGTGAAGCACAGCGTCCCCGCGCCCGTCATGTCCATATGTGACCAGTAGAGGACGCGCCTGAACCCACGAGTCCTGATCCTGGTGCAGGGACCGGCTCACCCTCACATGTTTATGTCTGTGTTCCTCCCCCTCCTCCGGGTGAAGGACCTCCACCATGAACCCGCGGTTGTGGCTTTTCCCAGAGGTCCATTGAGACACGGCCGGACTCACATCAAAACTCTCCCAGCGGCTAAAAGAGTCCCGCACCAGCCGCGTGTCCAGCAGCCGGGCCAGGGGCTGCCGGTCGTGAGCCCCTGGAAGTCCAAAGAGCTCATAAATGTTAATGCGATGCAGCCCAGTGCTGCTGTTGGAGGCCTGGACCTGCTGGACCTGGTCCCTGTAGATGCGCAGCTCTGCAGATGTGACGAGCTCCTCTTCGGGCACTGAGGTCAGGTTGAAGTAAAACTGTTGTGTTGTTTTGCTCTTTAGGCTGGCCAGTGCCTCCATGGCCTCTGCAAGAGAAAGACCACATTAGATCAAACTGACATTAAAAGCACATACATCAGCACTGTGCTGCGCAGATGTAATTATTGTGATATGATCACAGACATGTAAAACTTTGATTGCTGTCAGTAACTCGTAATTTTTTTTTTTATGTAGAAACATAAAAGCGCACTTATTCATGGATAGGATCAGACATGCAGTTCAGGCTCCATTTGAACTGTTATTACCGACAGGCAATAATGGAAAATAAATGCTCTCCAAATGAGTAAACCTAATCGCAAACCTTCCTGCAACCGATTCAACTGTTACATCTACAATACTCAATCTATTGATTTAGATTCAGGCTATTACCCGTGGCATATTGCATACAAAATGATGTGGCAGGTTTGGTGCTGTGTGTGAAGTATTTAATCAGTAACATCATAGAGCTACAGCCTATAGCTGCCGTGCTCTTTGAAGCAGCCCCACCTTGAAGTCCACAGACGTATAGACATGCATTATGTGTTTGGTGTGGTCAAATAAACAACAACTTTGAACTCAGCCTTTTCAAAAGAGGCATTTAAGAAATTCCACCATCTCATCCTAAACCTCCCTCCAGAGGCACAAAGACCTCAATTAGGCCTATCTGTGCTCATTTGATGTGGGAAAGCCCCCTGCCTCTGGTTCCCTCTTCCTTATATCCTAAATCCTTTCTTTAGTTAAAAGTCTCTTAAACCCAAGCTCCCGCTCTTCTCTTCTGCTGCTCTGCCCTGTCACTTCTTCTACTTTTACTCCGTTTATGTATTCTCAGTGAAACAAGTGTGTGAACAAGTCGAAGCTTGTCAAAAACGTGTGAACCTCAGATATGAGTGTATCTGCATTCCTAATTTCTTTTTTCTTTTGCGCCACATGCCAAAGCTAAAGATAAAGCTTGTTGCTGGGTCATTCATCATGGAGCCGTCTGCGATGGCCACTTCCTGTGTATGTTCTGAAGTCCTGGATGGTTCTTATTTGGTCAAGATTATATTCATACTTATATGTATAGAATATGAAATCATTTGACTTTGCTACACCAATAATTGTTGATGCATAATTTTTATGAGTGTAGTTGGCTATCAATTCTGCCAAAGACACATGGCCTCCCTTAGATTTATGTGTTATTTGTAACTTCTTTCTGGTCAGTTTAGGCAATATTGTGTCAAGCCAATCTAAACATTGACTAGAAAGCAAAATGGTCCCTATAAATCAGGTCAACTGAATATGATATTTAATCACAAACTAACTATAATCCTTAGCAAAATAAATGTGACTAAGCCAGGCATCTAGACAGGACCATTTGATACACATTTCCCTACACTTAACCAGAACTTGGTCTGAATGAGAATCCTTGCCTTTTGTATGTTTCAAAGTATGGACTTGCTTTGGGACATAAGTATTCCCTCCCTTGCTATCCAAACCTTCCCCAAAATCCCTTCTTTTGTAGTGTGCCAGTCTGACCACTGGGTGTCATTGCGCGAAGAGATCCTAAACACCCTTCTGACTCAGCCACGGTGGAAACTTCCCACTAAAACACTCTGGACTCTGTAAGCACCACTCTCCCCACAGCATATGGACAAATGCAGTAGCTGTGAGTTGATACAAAATGGAAAAATTGCTTCAAAGTGGAGGTCTGATGAGTAAACACAGAAGGCAATAAACTAACTATATTTACCCAAGTCCAGAAATAATACGGTCTTAACATTCATAAAACAATGGCTAACACATTATATTCTTGGGAGTAACATTTTCTTCCTGGGAGGTACAGTGACTGGACTAAAGCAACAAATTCAGCGTCAATAAACAGAGCGTAAGTGAGCTATTCTGGTGTTATTGGAACGTGCGTAATGGCGCACAGCAAGTAGAAAAGGTTCAATTTGGAAAGAATACTGCGCGTAATCCCCCGCTCTCTCCACCGTGTATTTTAACGTGGCTACTATTAAGCGTGAGTCAGAACTGATGGGGACTTGGCCATATGCCTTTTGCTCTAGTGTCACGTCGTGTTTTCACCTGCGCAGAGGCACACCGCCCTCTATACTGCTCTCGTGGTGCGTGTCTGGAAAAACTGTTTTCAGTGCCCACGCAAACACCATCAATTATTAAGTAACAAATTACCTAGTGATACCTCCGCCTCTTCAGGGGTAGTGGCTGAAGGGAGGAAATGTGTGTATAAGGTTCAACTTATTAGTGGCCTTCAATTGGTTTAATTACTCTAGTCTGCTTGTATGAAACTGACATTTAACACTTTGCAACAAGTAACGCGTGTCACCGGTAAATGAGTAAGGCTCCATAAAATACTAAAGCCTGTGAAGCTGCCTGAGTCACTATTAAACATAGGTTGGAGCTGTCTGAGAGCTGACAGCTAAAGGTATGTCACTAATACGCACCTTCATGGTGAAAGCTTCTAATCGTGTTGGCCTTGCTGGCAGCCCTCTCTGCGTGCCTCCCCAGGCTCCGGGGCCGCTTCGTGCTGTGGTCTCCGTTGGCTGAGTGCATCTGGTACAGGTCCAGCATATACTGCGGCACCACTGCGTGCTTACTGGGGTTTGGCCTTCGCTTCAGTCCAAACATATTGAGAAGCCGGAGCTCGAACTCGTTCAGAAAGTTCTCCGACTGCTGTGGACTCTGCTTCCCGGATTCACTGTACCTCCTCCGGCCAACCTCTGGGATAAGTCCCGAAGCACCTCCCAGCAACACCTGAGCCAGCAGCAGAACCATAAGAGAGCGGACCACGGCGACCATGATCAGTCAGTCCCTGTGGAGAAAGTGATGTGAGTGCTCAGGACATGGGACAGTGTTGCCAGCGCAGAGTGGTCCTCCAGCATGAGGCTGAAGAGGAGAGACACCTTCACTTTGATGTGCGCCTAAAAGACACTCTGAATAACGATGCCGCGGGCCACGTTAGAGATAGGACACATGAAGTGCAAAATACGGCTGTATGTACGCGTGTAATAAAAAGCATAAACTTAATTGGCTGCAATTAAAAAGAGCCCACTGGTAATTGGCGGTTTAGACCTCGGAATTATATAAAGTCATTAAGCAAGCCGTTTAGAGGAATCCCACAGTATGGAAAAGAGCTTTACGCGCAGTCCAAAAGCCAAAGCCAGACTGCGCTACAAGGGCCTATTTGCAGTCTTTGCCTGTCATGTATAATCACAAGGGATAGGGTTACTTGAAGAAGCTCGCAGGTGTTAGATCTGACGTACGCGCCAGTGCCAGATGTAGCCACTATACCATATAACTTCAAAAAGCCAATACGCTGAGAAAAACTTTTAAGCGCACGCTTCGAGTGTGTAGATGTAGAAACGTTATATAGATATAAACATGTTACTTTTCACTCACCTGACGAGGAAGCGCTGTGTCCGGTCGTCGTTCCCCCTTTGGGCTCCGATAAAGTCCACATTAATTCGCGTTTAGTCCACAGTGCTTTCCCGTAAACGACCAGAGACTGCCCGTGCCCTTCACCGCTCTCCTCTCGCACATATTCTCACCAGCTGCACTTCGGGTTAAGTCTTGGTCAACGCGTAAAAAGGGGAAAAAAGAAAAAAAATGTTAAGTCTACGAGGAAGCGGGTTTGCGTAGGCAGGAGCGGTCTAGGTATAAAGAAGTTTGTTTGAACATCTTCAGAAAAGTTGAGCGAGACGGGCTTCTGTTGAGTCAAGGAGCGCTTGGTCTCTGCGCGCAGCGGAGGGAGAAGTGGCTCTATATTGATTGGTGCCTTCTCTTCCCCGGGCTCCGCTTTTTGTCCTGCGGTGATGTCACGAGGGGGCCGTCAATCATGCGTAGACGAAAGCAGGACCAAAGACTTCACTGTGCCTGCAGGAAATATATTGATGGTGCGACTGTAACTCTATATTATTTTAGCCATAAGTCATTTTCACTTATTCGTTTTCCTTACATTATCTTCAATATTTGACCTGTGTTTTATATATGACTGATTGTATTACATATATAGTTTCTGATTGGACAATAATAAAGTGCTTTGTGTAAAAAACTGTGATTATTTATGATTTTAATGCCTTGTTTGATTGCTCCTTTCTTTTTTTGTTCAGCACATTGAGTGGCCTTGTGTATGAATTGTGTTATACAAATAAACTTGCCTTGCCATTGTTATATATCCAAATTCAAACTTTAATATCTTTACATAAACCGCATATGGATGACAGAGGATACTTCCCATAAAACCAGGGTCAACTTATTTTGTTTCATAAATAATACATGTTGGTTGTCTCAGAAAATAACAGACAATATGCTCTATTTATCTTTTGCATATAAGTTACTGTGAGTTACTATTTGACGCTTTGGGCTGAGAAATTATTTGCATAGTCCTCTCTTGTTCACTTCACTGTCTTAAAAAGCTGATCTAAAGATGGCCAAAGATACAGACATGTGGAAACAATTGATAGAATCAAACAGTTTTTAGAGTGAGGAACAAGTTTAATGTTTATTACATTGAAATGGCTTTATTATTGGGCCATATATTTGAGTAGGCTTTTCTCGTGAAGCATCAATTACCCAGGTCCTTATCAGAGATTGATCTTTTCATTAGCCAGAGTGGCCAGTAAATATTATCGGCACGGTGGCTGAGTGGATAGTACTCTCGCCTCTCAGCAAGAAGGTCCTGGGTTCGAATCCTGGTCGGACCAGGGCCTTTCTGAGTGGAGTTTGCATGTTCTCCCCGTGTCTGCGTAGGTTTCCTCCGGGTACTCCGTTTTCCCCTACCACTAAAAATATGTCCAATAGTTCTAGCATGCGCCTCCTGTACTGGCGACCCCGCTCCCATCTCTGTGTGGAGTGAGAGACAATTGCCCAATATTAACAATTGTAAACCGCTTTGAGACTCAGATCTGCAGTGAAAAGGCGGTATATAAATAAAGATTACTTACTACTTACTACTACTTACTTATCAATATGTAAGTGTCTTTTATCTCTTTAAATCAGATGTCATTAGTCAATTCTGGATAGTACACTGAACCTATTAATCTGATTGCAATTGACTATTCACATCAGTAAAGTTGAAATAAGAGAAAACATTTTTCCCCCCTCTTTTTATAGTGCATAAATTTGCCAGAAGCTATTTAGTGTATTTTTAATCCCAATTTCAGCTAAAACAATCTTACAAAAAACACAAGCATTTCTATTTTTATTCTAGCTATATCGCTCTGCACTCTGCCCCCCTGTATGTGGCATAAGACGAGACATTGTAATGATAATAATGCATCGGTTTTTATATATCTTTTTATGGACATTCAATAGACTCTTCAAATGTTATTCACTCCATAGCCACAGCTTCTACTGTACTGTAGCCACAGCTTCCCTGAGGCACACTGAAAGAAGTGAGGCAAACATTATGTGCCAACAACCCCTCCTACCACCACCCACCATTCACACACCAGACTCATTCTAGACAATGTGGGTGAAGTGTCTTGCCTAAGGACAAAACAACAGTTTGACACTTCACAGCTGCACCCGCCCCACTGCAGCACCTGGTGTTCCCAGAGGTCTCTCTTCACAGTACTAACCATGTCCTCTCATGCTTAGCTTCAGAGCTCTGACGGGATCTGGCTTTCACGCGCAGGTCGCGCCACAATAGTTACATCCAAGGGGCTGCCGAGTCGTATCAAGTTAGCAATCAGCAGTATTTTTCTCTTCAAGCTAAAATGACTCTGCAACTCAGCTCGATCACCCGCACGTATCTTAGGTCAATGAGAGAAAATATAATATTAAAACAACTTTGAATGTATACATGACAAGGAAAAACATTTATAACATGGCCGCAAGCTTTGAATAGTCATTGTAGCATGTTTGTTAATGTTAATACTCGTTAAACATATATTTGTGACACCTAGAATTTTATTAATAGAAAAAGTTCTGGTTGCCTTGATCCTGTAGGATGTAATTAATAACGGCATGAGGGTGTTTGGAGTTTGTGGTTAACAAAGTCGCTGGCCCACAGGATCTAACGTTTCCTCTTCTGCCTGTGTGGGCGTGTATACATGTGTGTCCCAGGATTATTTACAGACTATAGGCTTTCTTGTGGCTGGATTAATCTTTTCATTTACCGTGAGTCTGCTGTTCTTGCCAGGTCCAGATGAACTGTGAGGTCTGACCCCAATAATGAAAAATAATAATAATGCACAAAGATTCACATGATGGCCTTATTCATTCACTCCATAAACAGTGGTGATAAACTACTGAAGTTTACCGAAGCCATAGCTGCCGGCTGGGATGTATTGAAATCACAATTAGTAAATAGCATTCATTGGAGTTGATCGTTTCCCCACAAAATGATAAAACATTTTACCTTTGATATAGGTCAAATAAGAGATTCTCTATTCGTCCCACAGTGGGGAAAGTTCAAATACATGCACATTGCACCCAAGCCGCCAAAGAATCTCATAGTAATGTACTATGGCAAGTTTATAATCCACGTAGAGCAATATAAAACAATTCAAACATTGTGTGTATGCATTTTTATATTTGTTAAAAATGTATTTAAAAAATGGCTAGCAAAAAAAACAACAAATTCAATCATATGTAGGTGTAAAGGCCCAAACATTCATGGTATGTGCTTCGATCGTGTTTCATAAATTATTACACTGCCCTTTTGTAAAATATTGTGCGTAGTTTCATATCCTTCTTTCCCTGACCCACAAGTAACAAGCTATATTAAATCAGTTGGGTTTTATTTCTCTAAATTATCACAATCACTATGGACACACCTCGGCAAAAAGACTATGTCAGGAGTGTCCAAACATTTAATAAGAGGGCCACTTTAGTTCACCAGACTAGTCCAGGGGCCGACATCACAGACTGAAAAACTGTCTTGACTGGCATCGGGCTGTTCTGAGCTTTAAAATGATCTATAACAGAGCTGAAGTTGGCTGAATGACAAATGTTTACCGTGTCACCATCTCACAACAACTGAATTCCAGACGTACTGGGCTATAGAACGTTACGACAGGTCTATATTGGCTGAGCTGAAGTTGGATGGATAACACAGTGAACTTATGTTTATGATCTCAAAGACTAATGTGGATTAGCTAGACAGAGGGCCACATGAAATGACACTGAGGGCCGCAATTGGCCCCTGGGCCTGAGTTTGGACATGCCTAGACTAGGTTGTAAAGTGGGTTAAATGGCGTGTAGTTTGAACACACCAGCCCGTGTGTAAAGAAGAGAGTGAGATCAGCTACAGCCGGTGTCACATTTATACATTTCTTGTTATATGAAGTCGTTACATACACTGTAAACTGCACTATTGTCAGTTAATAATTCTGTCTCAATATTAATAGTCACAGACATTTTTGAAATCTTTGCTTTTCCTTTTTGTGCTAGTGATTCATGGAGATTTTGTTAATCTGGAACCGGCCTCCTGACAATGAAAGACACATTTCCATTGTTTATGTCGTCTAAATTTGCCAAATCGTAACACAGCAAATAGGGCTGGGCGATTAATCGATTTTAATCATTAATTCGAGTTTTACGTTTAGGGCGATTTCTTTTTTTAAAAATTCGATTTTTATTTTCTCCAGCGCAGAACTACAGCGCTAACGCGCTAACCGCGGGTCTATGGTGTTGAGCAGTCATTTTGAAGCTAACCTAATGCTAACAGTCTCCCTCTGGCCTGATGCTCGCTCTCACAGTTGGTGCTGTTGCAATAACACTTCAAACGTTCAAGAATCAGACTTTATTTAATCGCCAAAACACACACACACAGGCTCCGGTCGTACGCCACATCT